CTGAAGCTGAGATCTCGCATATCAAAAAACCCTGGGCCCGCCACTGAATAGGATCAATCACTTTTGGATATTTATTCCACACATTTAACACTATTTGATGTTGTCTCATCAGTTGCATTACGATCAATTGATCCATTTGTTACTGCTTTTCGAGCATTATTAAATAGAAGTGTTCGTTGTTTTTATTTATAAAATTTTCCTGTAGTTCAAAATTTTTTTTAGAATGTCAATTGTCAATCTACAAATCGATAGTTAATCAATATAAATATAATACTTCGATGTCTTGTACAAAATTTAACTGAATATACTATATTAACACGATAGAATGATGTTTTATTATCAGTTAATGAAACACGAGATGAAACTTTTAGTGCGTAAGTATTCGAAATGATTTTATTTATAATTTAAAAACTATTATTCTCGTTTTTGTTTTCAGAGCTTTTCTTCGAATTTTACATGACGTAATATTACGAATTTTAACTAATACTTGACAATTATGTGGTCAAATCAATATGACATTAGTTTCTCTTGCATCCGATTATCTTTATGTACATGTTAGCGTCCAATGTCGGATTCAGTCCAATCTCGGATTGGCCTAGGCGAATTGTAGATGCTTACATTGGACTAGTCCAATATCGGATTGACGCAATTCGGTTCACTAAAATATCAATTACTCTTGAGATAGATGTTGGATTCGAATTACTTTTTGAAATTATGTTCATATAATGTTGATTTGTTTATCACAATCATCGTTAGACAGATTTAAGTTAAAGTTTAGGAGTTATGAATAAATTTCTACAGAACAACAACTTTTATGAAAAGTTGTTATTAAGTTCTTCAGTCTAAATTTGACTTCTGCCTGAACGCCTGCAATATTTAAAACGGCATTGTACGAACATAATTTCAAAAAAATAATTCGAATCCAACATCTATCTCAAGAGTAATTGATATTATAGTGAACCGAATTGCATCAATCCGATATTGGACTAGTCCAATGTAAGTATCCACGATTCGCCTAGGCCAATCCGAGATTGGACTGAATCCGACATTGGACGCTAACATACATATCACCCATTGATTTGAAGATAAAACTTTTCTGCAATTCATTAATTACTAATGGCCTAGCGAAAAACATTTGACTTTAAAATTCCTATGCTTATATAAGATCTATGATTTTATTTTAGTTAAACAATTTCGAACAATTGTAAATGATTTTCATCAATTATGAATTCATGATGAAGCTCTACATTGTCTTGATATATTTTCATATTTAACTATTTTAAATGAATGTTTTAAATTATTATGATTATCATTTTATATTTCATTATTATTACAAAGGACACATATTCTGAATATACTTGATTATATACAAGAAGCATGGTGATCACCAATATTAACACCATCATCATTAATAACACAATTATCTATAAGTGGTTAATTACAATCATATTGTGATTTAATATATCATCATAAATTGTATGTTGAACATTTTACATCAATAACAACACATTAACAATTATTATTATTATTTTTTATTTGAATAAAGTGATACATGTACATATGTACATAATTTATTTGATCTTATACATCATACATCAGTTGCAAGTCATTTATTCGTTTGCGAAGGAATACATTTATATGAAAGTGGTCTTATATTAGTTTTATTAATTGAACAATTTCTTCCATTACCATTAAATAAACAATTATTACCTAAATATTTACCATTAATTTTATAAATATTATCAATAACAATATCAATCGATATTATTAAAGAAGATTTTAATAATCTTAGTTGTTCTGTGGATATAACAAGAAAAATTTATGCACAAATGCTTAAAAATATAACTTATAAAAACTGATTACCATTTATGATGTCATCGGTATATTTTAGTTTAATTTATCGAAATAAATAAATATATATGTATAATAAAAATTTTAATCCAATTAAAAGAAATGTTTTTTTGTTTTACTTTGACATTGTTTATGTGCTAGTAATAGATGAGACTTTTGAATAATTCAAAATTTCGAAAAATATTTTGAAATAGAAAATATGCAGAATTTCAGGTAATACAAATCGTAAAGGAAAGCATTTAAGTTACATTAGTACAATGACCGAATAATTTCTCTCGAATCTTATTGATCAAATTCTCAGTCGTGCTATTTGTACTGTTACAATTACAGAAAACGACGTCTTTCTAATATTATATTTCGAAATAAATTGCATTCGAGAATTTCGATAAATTTTCTATAAGTTTGAACTCGTGAACTCCGAAAACGTATTGGATTTTTCCACAGCATTAAATTTTTAGGATGATTCTTATAGTAAATGAAAATTAATTTGAGAAAATAAGAAACAATATAAATCTGTTCTTTGTTTGTTTTCCTAGGATTTTGTATAGTTATATCAAATGAAACAAATTAAAATGACATTGAAACAACACCTAATACAATTTATGAAAAAAGTCTTTTATCATGCTTCTAATAATCAACCATATTCAATTGCATTCATAGATTCTATATCAATATATTTTGATACAATACGAAATCATGTTGAATTAACATGTCAATTTTCAACAGGTGATATACGTGATTTATTACATTTTATAATATTTATATCAGAAATAATTTATATAAATATATTTTAAAAAAACAACATCATTTCTCAGTTATGAAACAGATCAAATAATATCATGTTGTACATTATCGAAAACACTATTATCAATATTTGAATATCTTTATCAACGACATGATTTAACTATATCAAATATATTATAATCATATTTAAATTTAATTGAACCAGATAAAAGATCATCTTTATTATTTAACAAAAAAAAATTAAATATATATATATATCATATATTTATTGA